AGATGACACGAAGAAATGGAAAGATATACCATGCTCATAGATTGGAAAAATTCATATCATTAGAATGTCAGACTACCCAAAGCAATCTATGGATTCAAGGCAGTCCCCATCAATACCAATAGCATTTTTCACAGAACTAGAACAAACAATCCTAAAATTTGTATGGACCTACAAGAGACCTTGAACAGCCAAAGCAATATTGAGAAAGAACAGCAAAGCTGGAGGCATAAAAATTCCAGATTTCAAGATATACTGAAAAGCTATAGTAATCAAGACAGTATGGCACCAGCACGTACACAGATACGTAGGTCAATGGGACAGGATAGAAAGCCCAGAAATAAATCCACATTTAAACGGCCAATTAATCTACGACGAAGGAGGCAAGAATGAAGAAAGACAGTCTTTTCAAGACAGCTACATGCAAAAGAATGAAACTAGACCACTTTCTTAACACCATACACAAAAACTCAAAGTGGATTAAAGATCTAAAAGTGAGAACTGAAACCATAAAGTTCCTAAAAGAAAGCATAGGCAGTAATTTCTTGGACATCATCCTTACCAACATATTTAAGGATATATCTCTCCAGGCAAGGGGAACAAAAGAAAAATAAGCTATTGTGACTCTACCAAAATAAAATGTAGAGCAAAAGAAACCATTAACAAAACAAAAAGGTAACCTAGAAGATATTTGCAAGACATTGCAATAAGGAATTAATATACAGAATATGTAAAGAATTTATACAACTCAACATAAAAAAAATCTGATTAAAAAATGGGCAGAGGACCTGAATAGACATTTTTCCAAAGAAGACACGCGGATGGCCAACAGACAACATTAAAAGATGTTTAACATTAGTGATTATCAGGAAAACGCAGATCAAAACCACAATGAGATACCACCTCACACATATCAGAATGCCTAATAACAAAAAGACAGGGAATAACAAGTGTTGGCAAGGATGTGGAGAAAAGGGAACCAATAGGGAAATCCCCATTAGTAGGAATTTAAATGGGTGCAAGCATTGTGGAAAAAAGTATAGAGTGTCCCCAAGAAATTAAAAATAAAAATACCACAGGATCTAGTAATTTTACTACTAGTTATTTACCCAAAGAAATGAAAACACTAATTCTGAAAGATATGTGGACCCCTATGTTTGTTGCGGCTTTATTTACAATACCCAGACGTGGAAGCAACCCAAGTGTCCACCCACAGATGAACGGATAAAGATGATGTATGTACCCACAAAAGGATATTACTCAGTCATAAAAAAAAAGACTGTGATCTTGCCATTTGTAACAACACGGATGGACCTAGCCGGTATTATACTCAGTGAAGTAAGTCAGAGAAAGACAAATACCACATGACTTCACTTACATGTGGAATCTAAAAACAAAACAAGTGAACAAACTAACAACAACAGCAACAAAGCCAAAAGAGATCCATGAATACAGAGCATAATCCGGTAGTTGTCAGAGGGTTGGAGGATGGGCAAAATGCATAAAGGTGGGTGGAAGATACAGGCTTCCAGTTACGAATGAATAAGTCATGGGGTGAAAGGTACAGCAGAGTGAATACAGTCAATGATATCATAATAGTGCTGTGTGGTGATAAGGGGTGGTTACACTTGAAGTGAGCACAGCATAATGTACAGAGTTGTTGACTGCTATGTTGTATAACTAATGTAGCATCAGGAGTCAAGTATACCTCAGTGAAAGAACTTTCCTTTGACATTTATAGAAAATTCTACTCAACAACAGCAAAATACACAATCTTCTCAAGTTGCATATAAAACATTCATCAATAGACTACATGCTGGGTGATAAGGCAAGTCTTAGTAAATTGAAAAGGATTAAAATCACATAGAAGATGTTCTTTTGATCTCAGTGGATTTAAACTACATAGCAGTAACAATAAACAAGAAAGGAATAACAGTAATTCCTTAGGAAAATACCCACATATTTGATAATTAAAGAACACAATTCTAAATACATCATGGTCACATAAGAAATCACAGGAATATTTAGGAGATATTTTGAACAGAAAAAATAAAACAAAAATTTTCAAATTATGTGAGATGTAGCTAAAGCAGTGCTTAGAGAACACTTACATTTTTTAAATGCTTATACCAGTAATTTAGGGTCTAACATCAAGCTCCAACCTGAAGAAACTAGAAAAGGAAGATTCAAAGAAGTCCAGAATAACAAAGCAAAATAAACATAAAAGAAAACAGCATGATTAAAATAAGTGTAAAGCAAAAAAAAAAAAAAAAAAAAAAAAAAAAAAAAAAAAAAAAAAAAAAAAAAGGCAGTAAAAACTGGTTCTTAAAACAAGACAAATGAGGTTGATAAATCTCTATTCAGACTGATCAAGCACACTATAAAAAGAAGACAGAAATTAACCAATATTAGGAATGAATGGTAGAGGGGTCTACAGGTCTTACAGATAACAAATGACTATCAGCAAATATGAAGAATATTTATGACCTATTTTACATTTTGAATAAAATTGACAAATTCCTTGAAAGACACAAACTACTAAATATCACCCAAGAAGATATAGATAACCGTAACAGCCCCATATCTATTAAAAAATTTTAAATTCTTAGTTAAAAACCTTCCCATATATTAAAGAAAACCTTCAGAAGTATTAACAAAACAAATATAGACAAATTTTTCCAGAAAAGAGAGGAGGAGGAAATACCCCAACTCATTTATGATGCAGTATTGCCCAGATATCAAACCAGACAAAATAGAATAGAATATTCCAATCCCATATCCCTCAAGATTGCAGATGCAAAAAATTCTAGCAAATCAAATCCAGCAATATAAAAAACTTTTTGACAAATTAGGATTTATCTCAGAAATGCAGTTTGGTTTACTATTTAATATTCAGCGTAATACACCTTTTTATAAGATTTAAAGGGAAGGGGCACCTGGGTGGCTCAGTCAGTTGAGTGGCAGACTCTTGATTTCTGCTCAGGTTATGACCTCTGTGCTGAGCGCAGGGCCAGCTTAAGATTCTCCCTCTCCCCCACTATGCCCCTCACCTCTGCACAGGCACATGCTGTCTCTAAAAAAAACTTAAAAAAAAAAGATATAAAAGGAAGAACCATATAATCATCTCAGCAAATGCAGTAAAGACACTTAAGAGAATTTATCACTCATTCTGAGAAGCACTAAGAAAGTGCTTCTCTGAAAAACCTACAGCTAACATCATACCTAATGGCAAAACCTGTTCCCCTAAGATCAAGAAGAATGGACGTTCTTACCACTTCGATTCAACATCATATGTAGGTCCTAGCCAGTGCAATGAGTCAAAAACAAAACAAAACAAAAGAACTGAAAGAGAAGTAATGCTTTACTTAGTTGCTGTCAATATTTTGTACAAAATTCTAGAAAATCTACATGAGTCGCATGTTGTGTTATATTGTTACAGTAAATGTCCCCCAGTTGGTGTATCCACAACTTTGGTGTACCCACCCACACCGACTCTGGGTTTGGTCATGTGACTTGATCTGGCCAATGAGACAACAGCAAACGTAAGAGGCCCAGAGGTGTGAAGAGCACTTGCTCAGTGAGCCTTGTTGCTCTTTGTGAAGAATCCCCGGTTGAACTGGCAAAGGCACTGAAACCAAATGGAGCAGAAACATGTAAATTCTAGTGAGCTTCAAGTGTCCTTTATCCAAGGAGTCTTTTTGAAAGCACTTCTCAGTTCTCAATGGACACAGTTCATGCACTTCCGTCTTCCTGCTATTCTCCTCTCCTTTTCTCCCCTTTCTCCTTCTTAAACTTTTCCCCTACTTCCCCATTTTTCTCATGTTATTGTATCTGCTGTTACAGCGTTCCCTCCCTGACAAGGTCCAGAACTTTTTAAAGGGCCATGTACTTTTCATTTAATACGGTTGCTGGCATAATGATTGTTAACAAAATATTTCAAGAGTAAGTGACTGGGAAACATCTCTTTGTTTCTGATTATTATCAAGATAAAGAATTTTTTTTATATATTTTTTGTTTAATCTAACATTCACGAAAGTATTTACTGAGTAATTACTATGGGCCAGTCCTGTCAAGTGAACTAGCTTAGAAAACAACTGGTTGTTGGGGCCCCTGGGTGGCTCAGTCAGTTAAGCGTCCGACTTCAGCTCAGGTCATGATCTCACAGTTTGTGGATGCAAGCCCCGTGTCGGGCTCTGTGCTGATGACTCGGAGCCTGGAGCCTGCTTCGGGTTCTGTGTCTCCCTCTCTCTCTGCCCCTCCCCTGCTCATGCTCACTCGCTCTCTCTCAAAAATAAACATTAAAAAAATTTTTAAACAACTGGTTCTTATGAGGGATATGAATGTCATTATTGGTAGATATGTTGGGCAGTATTATGCCTATTATTAAAATATCTAGATAGTCAATTTGTCTTACCTCATTAAACAGAAGAAAAAACGTATTCATTTTATGCTCATAAAGCAACATTTACACAGTTATAACCTCCTGAACCAAAGGATTGGATCAGAAAATTAAGTCGTGATTTGGTAATGTGTTTGAATCTATGTGACTTATAATATCTTCTTTGTAAATAATTGTTTTATTTATTTTTAAAATTTTTTATTATTTATTCATTTTTGAGAGCCAGAGAAAGACAGAGCGCAAGTGGGGGAGGGGCAAAGAGAGCAGGAGACAGAATCCGAAGCAGGCTCCAGGCCCTGAGGGGTCAGCACCGAGCCCTGTGGGGGGCTTGAACCCAGGAACCACGAGATCATGACCTAAGCAGAAGTCAGACGCTCAACCGACTGAGCCACCCAGGCACCCCAGTAATTTTTATTTTTAAATAGTTTAAGACTTACCAGAAGATGCAAAAATAGTTCTGTGTATCCTTCAACCAGCTTCCCCCATAATGATATCTTAATAGTAGTAATACATTATCAAAGTCAGGAAAGTGACATTGTTACAATATTATTAATTTAGTTACAGACTAAAAGTTCTTTTTAATAAATCCTTGTTTTCTATGTAGATTTTCACTTCATTACCACCTCTTACTCTGGGAATCTTTGAACAGTGTTGCAGTGAGAAGAGCCTGCTGAGGTGCCCACAACTCTATAGGATTTCTCAGGCAGGGAAAATTTTCAACACAAAGGTAAACAGAAGATTTAATGCAGGTTTTCATCTCAACTCCAAAGGTTCCTCTTTTCCTTTTCTGATGCTTAAAAAAATCATTTAAAAACCAAGGAATGCAGCCTTGTGCAATCATTTACCTCGTAGTTTAGTTTATCTAGGGAACCGAGATTTAAATAACAATATGTGGCCGAGGGAAACTAAAGAAAAAGAAGCAAGGCACCATGTGTGGTCCCACAAACTGTGCACAGAGCAGCTTCAGGAGGCATGCTGTGCATTGGGGCAATCCTGGAAAATACAAATGAGGGACTCAGGCCTATTTTTAGAGGAGACAAGCGATTCTTCTGGAATGCTTTCTTCCTGGGATCACGGAGTTGAGATTTGGAGTAAACCTAACTGCATCCCAGTCATTAGTGAAGCTTTAAAAATATATAGACACCTGCAAGTATCTTTTCAAATTAGTATTTTTGCTTTCTTTGGGTAAGTACCATTTGGGTAAATACCACAGTTAAGTGCCGTTAGACCACATGACAATTATATTTTTAGTATTTTGAGTAACTGTCATACTGTTTTCCACGATGGGTGTACCAATTTGCATTTATACAGTACATGAAGGTTCCTTTTCGTCTACATTCTCGCAACACTTGTTATTTCATGAGTTTTTTTCATTCAGCCATTTGACAGGTATAAATTGATATCTCATTGTGGTTTTGACTTGCATTTCCATGATGATTGGTGATGTTAAACATCTTTTCATGTGTCAGCCATCTGTATGTCTTCTTTGGGAAAATGTCTATTCAGGCCCTCTGCCCATTTTTTTTTTTTTAATTTACATCCAAATTAGTTAGCATCTAGTGCAACAATGATTTCAGGAGTAGATTCCTTACCCATTTAGCCCATCCCCCCTCCCTCAACCCTTCCAGTAACCCTCTGTTTGTTCTCCTTATTTAAGAGTCTCTTCTGTTTTGTCCCCCTCCCTGTTTTTATATTATTTTTGTTTCCCGTCCCTTATGTTCATCTGTTTTGTCTCTTAAAGTCCTCATATGAGTGAAGTCATATCATTTTTGTCCTTCTCTAATTTCACTTAGCATAATACCCTCCAGTTCCATCCATGTAGTTGCAAATGGCAAGCTTTCATTCTTTTTGATTGCCGAGTAATACTCCATTGTATACATATGCCACATCTTTATCCATTCATCCATCGATGGACATTTGGGCTCTTTCCATACTTTGGCTATTGTTGATAGTACTCTATAAAATGGGGGTGCATGTGTCCCTTCGAAACAGCACACCTGTACCCCAGCAATTGCTGGGTCGTAGGGTAGTTCTATTTTTAGTTTTTTGAGTTTTCCAGAGTGGCTGCACCAGCTTGCATGCCCATCCTCTGCCCATTTTTAAATCACATTATTTGTTTTCTTGGTATTGAGTTGAACTTACGCTCATAAAAAAACTTACTTGTTCTTTATATATTTTGCATATTAATCCCTATGCACCCATATATTTATTGCAGCATTATCTGCAATAGCCAAGATATGGAAGCAACCCAAGTGTCCATCAGTAGACAAATGGGTAAAGAAGATGTGGTATATATAAGCAATGGACTATTACTCAACTATAAAAAGAATGAAATCTTGCCATTTGCAAGAACATGGATGAACCTACAGGGTATAATGCTAAGTGAAATAAGTCAGTCAGAGAAAGACAAATCCCATATGATTTTATTCATGTGTGGAATCTAAGAAACAAGTGAACAAAGGAAAAAAGAGTCAAAAAGTAGACTCTTAAATACAGAGAATGAACTGGTGGTTTCCAGATGAGAGGTGGGTAAGAGAATGGGTAAAATAGAGAATCAAGAGTACACTTACCCTAATGAGCACTAAATAGTGTTTTAGAATTATTAGTCATTATATTGTACACTTGAAACTAATATAACACTATGTTAATTGTGCTTCAATTAAAAAAATATATAGATGCCTGGAAGAAACATGGGTCTTTTATATTAAATACAATTAAAAAATTTTTTTAACTTTTATTCAATTTTGGGAGACAGAGACAGAGCATGAGTGGGGAAGTCATACACTTAACCCACTGAGCCACCCAGGCACCCATATATTAAATATAATTTATAATATAATTATAATACATAATTTATAATATGTATTATATATATTATAATTTTATAATATAATTATATAATTTATAATATAATTTATTGTCAAATTGGTTTCCATACAACACTCAGTGCTCATCCCAACAGGTGCCCTCCTCAGTGCCCAACACCCACTTTCCCCTGTATTGAGTCTTACTTCATGGCTCAGAATATGGTCTATCTGATAAATATTTCATCTTTACTTGGACAGAATGTTAAATGAGGTCAACTTCGTAGTGTTCAAACTTCTACATTCTTCTACATTAATTTTCTGTCTAATTACTCAGTTGGAGAGGAACTAAAATCTCCAACCCAAAGTATGGATTCATCTATATCCCTCTGAAGTTCTATCAGGTTTGCTTCATGTATTTTGCAGTTCTGTTATTAGGTGTATACATGTTTAGGATTTATTTATATTGTCTTGATTGATCCCTTTTTCATTATGAAATTACCTTTATTATTTTCTTCTTTGATCTTGTCTATTTTGTCTGATAGTAATATGACAACTCCAGCTTTTTTTTAGTTTTTATGATATATCTTTTCCATCCTCTTATTTTTATTTATTCATTCATTCATTCATTCATTCATTCATTCATTTATTTATTTATTTATTTATTTGAGTCTTCTAGTGGGCTAGTGGGCAGTTTGTAGTCTTTGTTATCCAGTCTGATATTACGTCTCTATACTGCGTGTTTAAAGTATTTACATTTTCGTATGTTTATTGATGTGTTTTGTTTCAAATTTAACCATCTTTCTACACATTTTTGATTTTTCCTAATTATAATTTGTTTCCTTGTTTTCTCTTGTTCTGACTTCTTTTGGATTAATTTTTGTGAATTCCACTTCATCTCCTTGTTGGCTTCTTAGCTATAATTCTTTTCTTTAAAGAATTTGCTTTAGGGTTTATACCATGTATTGTTAACTTAGTGTAGTATGACTTCAAGTGATATACTAATTCACATACAGTATAAAAACCTTAATAGTACACCTCCATTTCTCTCCTTCTGACCTTTGGACTAATGTTGTCATTCATGTTACTTTTACATATGTTAACAACCCCACACCATATTAATACTTGTGTTTGAACAATTATTTTTCAAAGTGACTTAAATAGTAAGAGAAACACTTAGATCTTTACCCATACTTTTGTTATTTCCAGTAATCTTCTACCCTTTGTGTGGATTCACATTAATATGTGTTCTGATTTCCTTCTGCCTGCAGAGCTTCCTTTAACATTCCTTGTAGTGCAAATCTGCTGGCAGCGAACTCTTAGTTTTTATGGAACTCAAAAAGTCTTCATTTGACCTTCATTTTTGAAAGTTATTTTTGGTTGGCATAAAATTCTAGGTTTGACAGTTTATTTCTTTCAGTAATTTCCATTGTCTTCTTACTTGCATTGTTTTGATGTGGAATTACTGTCATCCTCACTTTATACCTTTCATGTGTCTTTTTTCATCTGGATGCTTTGAAGATTTTTTTCCCCCCCAGATTTGAGCAATTGGATTGTGGTGACTTGTTTCTTCATGGTTCCTGTGCTTGGGGAGCACTGAGGATTTGGATCTGTAGGTTTATACTAAGAAGATGAGGGGGCCCCTCGGGGCTCAGTCGGTTAGGTGTCTGACTCAGCTCAGGTCATGATCTCACGGTTCGTGAGTTCGAGCCCTGTGTCGGGCTCCGTGCTGACAGCTCAGAGCCTGGAACCTGCTTCAGATTCTGTGTCTCCCTCTCTCTCTGCCCCTCCCCCGCTCATGCTTTCTGTCTCAACAATAAGTAAATGTTAAAAAAAAAAAAAAGATCAGCAAACTATGGGCTATAGGCCAAATCTAGTCCGTTGCCTGATTTCAAAAAATTTTATTGGGAAACAGCCATGACCATTCATTCGCAAATTGATTATGATTATCGTAGAGGTACAACAGCAGAATTGAGTAGTTGTAATGGAGATCTTGTGGCCCCCAAAGAATAAAATACTTTTTTTCCATCTTGTCCTTTACAAAAAAAGTTTCTTGGTTTATAGTTTACATCAAATTTGGAAAATTTTCAGCCATTGTATTTTCAAATATTTTTTCTGGCCTATCTTCTCTCCTTCTGTTGCTTCCAATTATACATATGTTAGATCACTTGAAGTTGTCCAAAACTTCACTGAACCTATACCTTTGTTTTATACATCCTCCTCTCTGTTAAATTTTTTTTTTGTCTGGGTGTTTTGTTATCATTTTGTCTTCACTTACTTCTGCAACATCTATGCCATTAATTCTTCTGCAATGCTGAATCTGCATTACTGCCGTCTAGTAAGTTTATTATCTCAAAATTTATAGTTTTTAATCTATTAAATTTTTATCCAGAAATTTTTTATATTTTCTATTTCCCTACTAAGCTTTTGAACATAAAGAATAAATACTGTTTCAAAAAAGGAAAAGAATAGAGTTATACTCTTTCAACATTCTTATCTACAAATTTTAATATGTGTATTGGTTGTAGGTTGGATTTAATTAATTTTTACTTCCTCATTTTGGGTAGTGTTTTTCTGCCTTTTTTTAAATGCCTGATAATTCTGAATTGGATTTGTCCTACATGATAGATATTTTTGTATAACCATGAATATATTTTTTCCCTTTACATTGATTGATTGAAGTATAGTTGACACACAATGCTACACTAGTTTCAGGTGTAAAACAGTGATTCAAGAAGCCTATACATTATTCTACCTACATCTATTCTATACAAGTGTAGCTACCATCAGTCACCATACAACACTATTATAATACCATTAACTATATTCCCTGTGCTTTACCTTTTATCCCCATGACTTACTCATTCCACACTGGAAGCCTCACCCCCCTCACCCATTTTTCCCATGCCTCCACTCTCCCATTCCTCTGGCTACTTCCAGTGTATTCTCTGTATTGATTTCTTATGGTTTTTGTTTGTTCATTTATTTTTTAGATTACACATATAAGTGAAATCATACGGTATTTGTCATCCTCTGCCTGATTTATTTCACTTATCATAGAACCCTCTAGGCCCATCCATATTGTTGCAAATGGTGGGATCTCCTACTTTTTTACGGCTGAACAGTATTCCATTGTATATACATATCACATCTTCTTTATCCCTTCATGTACGGATGGACACTTGGGTTGCTTCCATATCTTGGCTATTGCAAATAATGCTGCGGTAAATATAGTGGTGCATGTATCTGTATGAATTAGTGTTTTTGGTTTTCTTGGGTAAATACCCAGTAGTGATATTACTAGATCATATGGCATTACTATATGTAATTTTTTGAGAAAACTCCATACTGTTTTCTACTGTGGCTGCACCAGTTTGCATTGCTACCAATAGTGCACGAGGGTTCTTTTTTCTCCATCTCTTCACCAACACTTGTTATCTCTTGTCTTTTTGATTCTACCCATTCTGATAGGTGTAAGGTGGTCTCTCATTGTGGTTTTGATTTGCCTTTTTCTGATGATTAGTAATGTTGACCATCTTTTCATGTGTCAGTTGGCCATTTGTAAGTCTTCTTTGGAAAAATGTCTATTTAAATTCTCTTCCCATTTTTAAATCAGATTGTGTGTGTGTGTGTGTGTGTGTGTGTGTGTGTGTGTGTTGTACAAGTTTTTTTACAAATATATTTTGGAAATTTACTCCTTATTGGATGAATCATTTGCAAATATCTTCTCCCATTTAGTAAGATGCCTTTTTGTTTTCCTGATGGCTTCCTTTGCTGTGCACAAAAGTTTTTTATTTTGTATCACCATGACTATTCTTGAGTTTTGTTCTGGAATACTAGCACGTTAACTGGAAACAATTTAGCCCTTTTGGATCTGCATTTTAATATTAGGAAGGACAGGAGTTGTGCTAAGTCCAAGGATAATTTTTCTCCACAGAGACAGAAACTTCTATGTATTCTGCCCAATGTTCCATGAATCTTGAGGTTTTCCAGTTTGGCACTAGTTGTGTTTTTAAACCAGTTTCTTACATTCTTTCCTAAAAACAGCTTTACTTCAGGAAATTTAGGTCACAGGACAGATATGTTTTTTTCCACATATTTTTCTCCTCTAGTCCTTTATCTGTAAGTCTTCCTGGCAAACATAAAAATAACTGATACATTTAGAACCAAAAGAACAAAGATTTGTTTTTGCTGTTGTTCTACCATCTCCTAACCAATGTACTCTTGTTTGACCCTAGAGATTTTATATTATTAATATTTCCTTTAAGAAAATTGTATATGGTTTATTAAAATTTACTTTGACCAAAATCTGGGTGTCGATGTAAAGGTGCAGATTGTATTACATGAAAGAAATTATATTTAAAACACTGCAATTTAAGGACTGAAAAATATTTTTATTTCTTTTACAAATTACTACTTCTGGTTCTTTTTCATTGGATAATTTAGGTTTTTATACTTTTTATAACAAATATTCTATATTTGAATCCTACACATTTATATTTAATGAGTTTTCAAATAATACCCTTTAATTTCATAGTCATTTCTTTTAGAAGAAATGGAATTTTTCCATATCTAGGAAAACATTTTGGCTTTATAACCGTGTTTCAAACTGCAAGTATATTTCCTAATGTCACATATTTTTAGATTTAGACCAACATACTATCATAACTTTCTTGCTTTGTTTTCTTTTAGGTATTTTGGTTTCAATGCATAAATGCTTTGGTCCATTCCTTCATTCTCTTCTGGTTGCCCATGAAAATGCTGGAGCATGGTAATGGCTTCACTGTTTCATATATTCAACAAAGAGCATGTTTTTCTCACTGGGGCCAGTATTTCTGTGTGTGTGTGTGTGTGTGTGTGTGTGTGCACGCACGCGTGTGTGTTTGTCTCCAAAGAAAGACCTGAAGGCAACAAAAAGGGAATTTAAAAATATGTATAAAATTACAGTCCAGCTGACACTTAACAGTTGATCTTTAGAAAGCATTTTCTTTGTGTCTGACATAAGTAAATTGAGAATTAGTGCTTTTTACTGTTCATTTTTAATAAATATTTGAGTTGGCAGGTCTGATAGAAAGCATAATCATTCTAATGAATCATAGGTGCCTTCCATTAGTAAGTTTGAAATTTATGTCTATTTTCTTATTTCACTTCCCAAACTTCATGCTACAATTTGGACTATACCACAAGTTTAATACACTTTATTATTAGACCAAGTCTCCTTTTCCTGATATACGATTTTCCAAATAACATTATGTATGAAGTGTTTCTACAGACTAACGTGGATCCAATACATCTAAATGTAGGAGATATATTTATGAAGTGTGCTATTGTTGTGTAATGGGTTCACAGCCATAAATTAAGGTGTGAAATATAATTATTTTTCTTTAACCAGATTTAATTTTCATTGGGTGTTACCAGAAATATATCCTTTATCTTGGACATATTTTTTAAACATTGAGTTTGAGTTGTATGTGTTATTGGTTGGTATTTAAAAGAAAGGATCTGCCATTAATATAGCTAAAGGCCTTCACTGTAAAAACAATGGACAAAAGTTTCAAATGGTAACAAATATAGCAAAATCACAAGTTTACAAAAAGTTCCTTTTAGGATGGAGTTGTAAGGAGCTCCTTGGACCTGCCTCCCACCCAGATAAGCAAAACTGGTCAAAATTATAAAAACATGACTCTGCACCTTCTCTGGATAGTGTCCTAAAGACAAATGAAGAAACATTTATTCAAGCAAACCTACTACTCAGTAAGAACATTGAGAGTCTATGGCATTGTAGCCATGACCTACTCCTTCCCTATCTTAATCACAACCTAGCTTGATGGAAGCTCCACTACAGCCAAGTGTGGCCAAGAGGGTAGGAATACTAGTATTCTCAATGGTCACTCAATGTTACAATATCTCACAGGAGAGCCAGGCCACCGGCATTTCTTATCCCCTGCCCCTAACTTTGAGTTGAAGAGGCCAAATTCCTGATGAGTGTGGCCAAGAGGTTAGAGCTCTCCTTTTCCAATCAACCTATGTCCACAGGAGAAAGTCTCTACAACAGGCACGATAGGCTAAGAATACCGGATCCATGATCACTCTCACCACAGCTTGCTTGTAGGGAAGAGAATCTCCAAGAGATTGCTGGGAAGGCAAGCCAAGAAGACCAGTGACAACAACCTCACTACCACCAAAGGTAGTGGCAATAAGGTTTTACCTACGGTAACAGGTGGTACATAAGAAAAGACAGACCCAAAACTCTTTCCAAAGGAAGTGACTGTTTGAAACATACTGGGGGAAGAGTTCAAGTCTAGGGATGTTCTCAAAGATAATAATTCTTCTTAAATGAGACCAACAAGCTAAACCATAGGCCTGGTTCAGAAAGAACCAGGGACAGAAACAGATAAAAATAGCCCTCCTGAGGTGAGAACAAACCTCAAAGACCTGTCTCAAAATTATCCCAGTCTGAATTTAGTCAGATCAGACTGCTGTACAATTAATGCCCTAGCACACTGTCAAAAACAATAGAATATCCCGTGGGTAATTAGTGGAGCCTAACAACTGGCGTAATACCAAGTGAGTCAGGTAGCTTAATGGAAAAATCAGGGAAAAGGAGTGTCAATACAGACCAGATAAAACCAAGGTGACTGTGTGCCTGCTCAGGGCTGCACCTTCCAAGGAGCAATACCAAGGTTTCATACTACAGGGGAAATAGACTTCAACTAAAATAGCCAGCCAAATCACAGAACAAATAAACATCAAAACAAATATAAGCGTTGAAGACAGGGGAGGGAAACTAGTATCCAGAGTAGCTACAGTGTATTATGTAAGATGTCTAGTTTTCAGCAACACCAAAAAGGACAAGACATGCAAAGAGACAGGGCAGCATGACCCATATACCCAGTAACAAGTAGGCAACAGAAACTTCCTGTGAGAGGGCCTACATGTCAGAGTTACAAAGAGTTCAAATTAGCCAATACAAACATGTTGAAAGAACCATAAGAAATCCTTAAAGGTATGAGGGTATGAAGGCACATCAAACAGATTATCAAAAAAGAGACAGAAATTATAAAAAAGAACCAAATGAAACTTCTGGAGCTGAAAAGTTTTAATAACCAAAATGAAAAATTCATTAGAGGGGCTCAACAGTAAATGTGAACTGGAAGAAGAAAGAATTATGAAACTTGATGCTACATTAATGGAAAGTACGCAATCTGAAAACCAGAGAGAAAAACAGAATGAAGGAAAATTAACACAGACTCAGAAATATGAGAAGCCTTTAAACACACCAATATAGGCAAATGGGGTATAAGAACCAGAGGAGAAAAGGAATGAAGTAGTAAAACTATTCAAGGAAATGATAGCTAAAGAGCTTCAAATTAGCTGAACAACATTAATTTGTACATCCACGGGGGCTCAGTGAACTTTAAGTGAGATAAATGCAAAGAGATCCATACCCAGACACATGTAGCAAAAATGTTGGAAGCCAAAAACAACAGGAAAATATTGAAAGCAGAGAAATAAAAGTGGCTCATGGACAAGGGAGCTCCAGTTAAGACTTACAGATGACTCCTCATCACACACACACAAAAATGGAGGTCAGAAGGCAGTGCTGAAAGAAAAAAACCTGTCAACCAAGAATCTTATGCCCAACAAAATAATTTTTCAAACATGAAGGCAAAACAGAGACATTCTCATATAAACAGAAAAATGACAGGATTTGTTACTGTAATACATGCTTTTCAAGAAATACTAAAGGAGGTTCTTCAGATTAAAAATAAGTAAACCCAGTTCACAAAGAGCATTGATAAAGGAAATTATGTAATCATATAAGACAGTGTAAATGCATTATTCCATCTTCTGTCTTTTCATAAATGATTTTAAAATAAATTTCATAAAATAGTATAGATGCAAAATCTTTATCAAAATATCAACATACTAAATCTAGAAATATATATAAGGTTACACACAAAAACACCAAATGGGATTTATCTCAGGAATGCAAGGTTGGTTTAACACACAAAAATAATGTCATTCATCATAAAAATAAAGGACAAAAATTACATGATTGTCTCAATAAATTCAGAAAAAGCATTTGACATAAGTCAATACATCTTCATGATAAAAACATTCACTAAAGTAGGAATAGAATTGATCTTTCTGAATCTGATAAAAGACATCTACAAAACTCCCACAGTTAACATGTTTAATGGTGAAAGACTGAATGTTTTCCCCTAAAATCAAGAATGAGGGGCACCTGGGTGGCTTGGTGGGTTAAGCATCTGACTCTTGATTTCAGCTCAGGTCACGATCTCAGTTTGTGAGATTGAGCCCAGCATCAGGCTCCACGCTGAGAACACAGAGCATGCTTCA